ATGCACAGTGATGGTGTAGAGTTGAGGTTAAGTGTCTTTCTGTCTGAACAGTAAGTTAGTGCTCCCTATCAGGTGGAAGGAACTTGCTCTTCTGGGCTGGTGGGGATGAACATCGAGTCCTGGGTGGGAAATGAAAATGGTGAGCCGTGTGTTAACAAAGTGGGCAACTCTTCAACCCACTGGAGACCAAAGGACATTTTCAGAAGTCAAACCAGTTTGTCAGGAGGTAAGAATTGTCCTTAATCTGTCTTCCACAAAAAAAAATAACTGATGTCAAAGGGAAAATGTAGGTGAAGTTTAGATGAGAGATGAATTCTAACTTGTCATACAACAAAGGGCTGCTAAGAGAACAGAACTTCTAATACAGCTTTCTCTTATATTTCTGTGACTTGCAGAGAAAGCTAAACCAAAAGCCAAGAAGAAAGAAGAACCAAGTTCTATTTTCCAAAGGCAACGGGTAGATGCTTTGCTTTTAGACCTAAGACAAAAGTTTCCACCCAGATTTGTTCAGGTATGACACTTACAAGCCATAGTAGTAGTGTAACTTAGAACTTAAGGCAGTCATAAGTATTTGAACAGCTGAAACTGAATGGGAATTTTGTGTGCTTTCTGCAATGGTAACATGGATTAGATAATGAATTTGAAATGGAAGGCTCTGATTGGAGTGTAGGATTCCCCTTTGTAATTGCAGGAGTCATTAAGACCTTGGCAAAACTATGGGGGTGAATTTTATTATACAAACACCTTATCTAATCACAGAGGGTCTGGTCTTGCCAGCTATTGGATTTTGCTGCTGCTTCCAGTTTCCTGCTTTGTGAATGCAATCAAGCCACCACAGCTATTTGGGTTTAGTTACTCCATTGTTCTGGAGGCTTATTAATTAGCGTGGAAATCCTTGGCATTCTGTGAAGTTGTTGTGATTACCTCTGATTGTCTCTAGTAGCCATTTGTTCCAGGTCTTCTGCTTGGGAGCAAAGGAAATTGTGTTTACAGCATCTCACAAAACTATTTACTCCTTAGATGTGGGAAAGACTGGCTAACTGTGTCTTTTTTTGCTTTAGTGTTTTTCAGCTGTCAGAGGAAAAAATGGGGTTTGTTTGAAGTGTATTTAGCAATTCCTTCTACCCTCAACTCTTATACATAAGTGTGCATTGCCTGGTTTATATTCCTAAGGGAATAGTAGGAAGGGTTAAGAATTATGACTTTGGTTCCACTGATGTGTTGTTTTATTTTTTTTTTTCTTCCTCCCCCACAGCAAAAGCCTGGAGAAAAGCCTATCCCAGGTAAAATTCTTAATATTCTCACAAGACTTAAAAAATAAGCTCTATATAGCAGTGTCTTCCAGTTGCCATATAAGCTCCTTGCTGCTGCTGCTGAGGTGGTTAGGAATTCTGGCATTGCCTAATTGTGCAAAGTACTAGGTAAGGGTTCTCTGTGACAGCCAAAGTGAAACTGAAAAAAAAGCGTGTACTGTTCCTGCCCTTCCTGTCTGTAAAACTGTATTGCCTGAAGGTCCAAATGCAGGAAATGGTCTCTGAAAGCAAGGAGGAGGGTAAAAGGGTGAATGAGGGAACAGCTTGGTCAGTCCAGTATCTTAGTGATTTTGCATGGTGCTAGAAGTGCAAGAAAGCATGTGAAGGCTTTGTGTTGATCATAAGCAACCTCAAAACAGGAAAATCACAAACTGTATCTCTTCAATCTATTTCACTCTTCTTGCCCATATAGGTATGAATTTAGTCCTTGGTTATTCTTACACCTTTGAAATTAATTTTGCCCCTTTGACATCAACAGTATTTTCTAAGCACTCTGAACAGTATTTTAGGAATAAAAATTGGAGGTTTAACTTTCTTTTGCTGTTACTTCTTAAGTGGATCAAATCAAGAAGGAACCAGAACCAGCCCCTGAAGCTGTGAAGACAGAGGAAAAAGAGACTGTAAAGAATGCTCAGCAGAGTGCTGGCACTAAAGGACCACCTGAAAAACGGATGAGACTCCAGTGAAGGGAGAAGTTGTTACACATCTGGATTAGTCAGTACCTGGAAAACAGGAGATTCTTGCTTCCCTTTCTTTATATTTAAGCTCTTCAGCTGAGACTGACGATTCAGGGACTGAAGTCCCTGTAAGAGCTTTTTCTATTGAAACGTGTCATGCAAATATCAGTATGTGAGCTGCCTCAAAGAAGGTGTTTTCAGTCTTCATCTTATTTTGAATGCTGGCTTCTGAGAATGGTTTTTACGTGGACATATTTTGCAGCCTCCTGAAATCTTTATGAACTCTTGCATCCCTTGTGTCTTGGTTTCCTATGTAAAAAGAAAAACTTTTATATTAAAAAAAAAAAAACAAAACCCTAAACAACGGAATTCTTGGCAAATAAAACTCCTGGCTGCTGGAATGCCTTTCTCAAATGCTTACTTTGTTAGTAGAAAATATGCCATATGTGCTGGCAGCATTTTTTTGCTTGCATATCGGAATATATTGTGTACTATTTCAAGGAAGAAAAGTTCAACGAAAGGATTTAGGCTGCCTGCTATAAATTGCTCTGCCTTCAGTATGCTTGGGATACAGATAAAAGATTTGATAACTGGATGCTGAAATCCATGTAATTAGATGTCAAACGGCTCTCAGTCTCTAAATGTTTTTAGGCACTCATTTTACTTAATAGCTAAGCTGGTCTTTTATTATAAAAGCTAGTGTTCGGGGAGAAAGATTTATGATGATAAAAAACAAGCTAAAATGTCTTGCTGTTGCACACTTGGTGAAGCTGTTTATATTTCTCCTTTTTTCACTGTAACTCAAATATATCAGTTATATCTCTTCCTCTGCTTCTAGTACTTTCTTGCTGCATCTGATCACCTTGATTAGTCATCTGCCTTTTAGACCCAAGGAGGTAGGGCAGTGGAAGAGAAATGTCATTGACAGCTATACGCTTTGTTATTTAAGCATGTTGCTTACATAAACCAGAGTTATTTGGGGTTTTTTTTGGCTTTGTTTTTTTGGGTTTTTTTTTCAGAAAAATTAGAAGTCCTCCATTGCAAAGAAATTATTGGGTTGGGTTTGGTTTTTTTCATTGAAGTAATGGAACAATCCTTGAAATAGCTTTAAGCATGTTGCTTACATAAACCAGAGTTATTTTGGGTTCTTTTTGGCTTTGGTTTTTTGGTGGGTTTTTTTTTTTCAGAAAAATTAGAAGTCCTCCATTGCAAAGAAATTATTGGCTTGGGTTTGTTTTTTTTCATTGAAGTAATGGAACAATCCTTGAAATAGCTTGCTTTCTTTTCACAGCTGTTACCTGCTTTCTTGTAGTAAACTGTAGTAAGCAAGAAAAAGGTTTGTACATTGCAAACAAAATGTGGATAGGAAGGAAGACTAGGATATGCTTAGATAGCTGTGTCACATTTGTTTTGAGGTTATAAGAGACTCTCTTTCAGTAACTAATAAACAGCTCTGGATAGCTGTTGAATGATGGGAAGACTCATGTAATTTTTGTCCTGTAATCCAAAACTGTAAAGTTGAAGATCTGGATAAGCCAATAGCTGTTTGCTGTTGACACAGATACAGACCTAGAATTTGTGTATCAGTGTACTTAAGTGTGTATTGGCTTTATTTCATACCACGTGGGTCAAGTTTGAACATCTATTTCTCCAAATTTTGATAGAAATAGATAATAAGCTGGTGTAAACTCTTAAATCAAGTGAAGATATAGAAAGCCGTTATTCTGGGATGCTCAAAACAAGAAAGAGCTAATTGTTCAGCATTGAATAATTACAAGGTAGTATGAATATACTTAGAACAAAAGGGTGTTGATTCTTTCTTGTATTAAACAAATTCCTCTGAAAGCAAGAAGCACCAAAGTCATTATCTCATCCACCTGCACAATGGAAAGGGGGATCTCCAGAAATGAGGCATGAGTGGTGAGGAACCTCAAGAGTTCTTGCTGGATTTCTGATGTTCAGAGTAAAGACCTTGGAACCGGCCATTAAAGGAGTTGAATTTCTCTGTAGTTATTCATATTACTAAAAGCCTGTGTGTCACTTGGAAAAACTTAAGCAAGCAAGAAAGATGACCAGACTGCACTGTAATGAAGATCTAGGGGTTTTGTGGGTTTGTTTTTTGTGGGTTTTTTTCTTTTCCAGGGAGAAAAATTAACTATTTGTACACCAAGGAAAGATTTAACATTACTAGCAGAAGAAAGATATCTTTGCTTATTGCTGAAGGCTGCTGTCAACAATGGATGCTATCAGTCACTGGACTTCACCTGAAATAAAGCATCTTGTACAACTCAATGTCTGAAAAAGAATTCTCCTGAAGGAGAGGGGGTTGAAGAAGGGCAATAAAATGAGTAGGAGAAAGTTTCTCCTATGAAGCCACTCAGAGGACCAAGACTTTAGTTCCTTAGGAAAGAGAAGACAAATATTGGGTCTTATAAAACTGAGTACTGTGAAGCAAGTAGGGAAGTAGAGAACTCTTGTTCTATCTTGTAGTGCAAGAATAGATGGACAAGTTAATGAAGCTGAATTGGAGTTACATTTAGTTACGTTGTACTCCATGCTCAGAATTTGAGCTGATTCACAGATGAGGGTGGAACTTGAAGGGGCAGACTGTCTTCACATCTGCATCTCTTAACAGCCCTTTTGCTTTCCACAGAAATGTCTGTTACTGGCTGGTGTCAGAGGGCTTTAAAAAGATGGACTTGTGCTCTGATCCTGTCTGAATTAAAGTGCCAGTACCTAAGCTATTGAGAGGACAGGAAATGGCTTACACGCATGAAACAATGCGTTTGAATGTGATAAGCCTCTTCCAGGGCCCTGATCTTTCCCTGAAAGAATTATAATATAAAGCAGTAAGGGATGTTACCAATGAGTGTGTTGATTTCTTAGGAGCTGTCCTTCAATGCTGAAAGTTTGCCATATGAAGGACTGAAATATCTTCTGATCCTGTTACTTGCTGACAATATTCTAAAATAGTTTTATCAGTTAAGTGAGCTTTGATATTAACTTACTGAAGTGACATTATATCAGATATTACTGTTAAACTCCAAGTAATTTATTGTCAAGAAGCTGTTAAGCAGCTATCTTCTAGTCAGTAAAGTTTTTCCGACTATGAGAATCTAAGTCTCTTCTCTCTGGTATTCATACCAGTCTCTTGGTTTGGAGCCTGAGGTCCAAAGTCCTTCAAAGGACCTTCAGTATTTGTAAGGCTTGTAGATGAAAGAGAAATAAGCAAGCAGTTCCGAAATTTGCCCCGTGCATCACTTTCTTCTGTGTAAAGGAGAGATTTGGTTGTATTGGAGAGCTTTCTCTACTTTTGCTCTTTGATAATAACTGTTCAGACTTCAAAAGGGCTTTTCTTGGCCTAAATCAATGGGGTAGGAGGAGGTAAAAATGACCTAGAACTCTGATAGAAACATCCTCCTGAGAGCCTGAAAGTACGCATAAATGAGTGTATACACATGAACAGATATCATACACACATATGCATGTGCATGTATATACATATGCATGTGCATGTATATACATATACATGCAAAAATCAAGCCAGACTGTAGTAAGAAGGGCAGCCCAGCTACCTCAATTCACTGTGTGAAGCTAGTGATGTCTCAGGTGTGGCAGAAATACTGTCTCTTTCAACTCTTCACTACGTAAGGTCTGACTGGGCTATGTGTTATTCTTCGCCATTCCTCTTTTCTGCTCCGCCCCCATACTTTGTGTTTTGGTAACCTTTTCCTAGCAAAGACAGATGCCATTTGGACAGTCAGTGTTGTTTGCCAAAGCGAACTGTACTTGGAGCAAGGATACAGGCAATAGGAGGGACAAGGCAAAGGGGAGAGATTAGCTTTATTTTGAGACACAGGTTCCCTGTGAGAAAAATGGTGAAGATATGTTATGCAAATAGATTGTGGCATCCCTGAACCAAGAGATGGCTCTGAAGAAAAGCTGATGTGATACGCTTTTTCAATTTATTTTTTTATATTTTTCTCAATGGCAAAGCAAATGATGATAACTAGGCATTCAGGGTTCAGGATGGTTTTTCTTTGTTCTTGGAGAGGAAGGTGAATTTTTGTCAAAAGTGTTGCATTGGTCCTGTAATCATGCACAGGACAAACAAATGGTCATTTATTGATAAATATCTTTCTGTAGCCTAATGTGGATCATAGCTGGATGGGTGGTAGGGAGAAATTTTCTCAGTGGGATGAGATATGATGTATTATTGATCTCTCAACAATCAGAAGGCTTCACTTCTTTCTGCCAGGAAAGTGAATTTCAATCTGTGGTCCACAAGGCTGCTGAGGGTCTGTGACCTGTTCCTAAAGACTCAACAGAGAAGGTAAGAGAAAAGTAATCTCTCGCTGGTAGGATTCAATTCCTTAGGAGCTTACACCTTCACTGAAAATCTTAGGGGGCTACCAGATTGAAAACAATTTGAAAAACACTGATGAATCATGAGAAAGCCAGTTATACCTGCCAAACAAATGTTTCTGCAGTTGAAATAGATACGGACTACTGCAATATTTTTCCCTGCTCTACTGTAACGTCAGTCATTTTTTTTCTTCCAACCTGTTCATTGTCATATAATGGGAATCTTTCCTTCCCTCCCCTTTGATCTTTACCTGATCAGAGTAAGAAGTACAAGGCTCTGGAAACCTGAACAGCGTCATCCCTTTTTATGTAGCCTTGACGCTGAAGGGCTTGCTTAGGTGCTCAACACAGTGTCGCAAATGTACGTTGACACTTTTCCCCAAGAATAACCTGCCCTGAGTTCAACAATGGAACCAGAGTACTTTCTGTTTATGTTTAAAAGAGAAAGAAAGTAGTAGGCAACTTTGTGCGGGTGGTAAGATATGTCTCCAGCAAGTTGGGAGAGTGATATAGTAGGGCCTTTGCTATAACTTGAGTGGTCACACAGCAGAAGTGTGCATTTAAAAATAGTGCTACAGGCACTGCACACAAAGATTATGTAACAGTATTTTTCTATTATAGTTACTGTGGTCTGAGTTATATTTATTTCAAAAGACACAATCTGACATAGTTCACAGCCCTGGAATGCAAAACTGATACTTGAAAAGTAGCGGACAGTTATTCAACAACTAACTGCACATAAAAGACTTCACATAAAATAGTGCCTATAATTTAAAAATTGAAACTAATAAAACCCCCTAAATCTTAAGGCTAATACAGGTCACGAGTTTGTTTACTTTTAGGTAAAGCAGTAAAAAATTTCAAACAATATACAGTTATGGATATCTGGAAAGATCCTAACAGAAGCAGGCATCCTCCTGTTTTCATTCCTTTAACCTGAGGTACTGTATTACAAGGTGTACACTACTCATGCTGGCTGTACTTGCAGTGAATGAGCAAGTTGCCAGTTCACAGAATCTGAAGCCCCTTTGGACAACTGTTGGTAGCCTCCATGGCTGTTGCCGTGTCCCCAGCTCACAGTACCAGCCCACTCCACAAGACAGCAGAGGGTTGCTCTGAGCACTCGGTCAGCTGCTTCTGTCACCGCTCAGCTTCTTGAGGGGCAGTGGCTGTCTTGGGCAATCTGAAATGTTAAGTGTTGCTGCCTGGCCAGGGTGATGGTCAGCACCTGGAAATTGGTGCCGAAAGGCAGGATCCTTGAGACGGAGATGGGGTGTTGGGAGGGTGCACCTCCTGCAGCTGAGCTAAGGGCCATAGCAGGTTGGACTTCATCCCAGACGTACTTTCAGTGCTGAAAAGAAAGTTGTGAAGAGTTTCCAAAAGGTAATAGCTGTGACTGTGTCAAATCCCAGCACTGTGTACCAAAAAAAGTGTGTATAGCTCTGCTGCATGGGACATTAAGACAGTGATCTGGATTGTGGTATAGCTGTGTCTTGATGGAGCTGTTGCTTAAAATGGGCATGGCAGCCAGGTGGTAGATGTACCTGTAAGCTCTCTCTTCCCAGTGCTCTGCAAGCACAAATCTTTAGAAAGGCCATGATGTGGGAAAGCGGCTGTTTTATCAGTGATGTTTGTAATTAAGGCACATTGCTGTAGCTGTGTAGCAGCTGGGGCATAGATAGGCTTTATGCTTTTATACTTGGTGCTATTAGTTTGCCTCTGTATTATTGAATGTAGTGGAAGTGAATTCTTCTCTGGATCTACCTTTTTTTTCTTGGTGTGCATATGTATACTGTAGTAGCTATAGTAAGGCATATGCTAAGCAAGGGCACTAAGGAGTGCTATGTCCTAGTCACCAGCTAGGAGACAAGTATTTCTGTACTTTTTCATTCTAGACCCTAGGCTTTTCCAAATACTCTTTTGAGATGAAATAGCCTGTTCCTGATCTCCACTCCGCTTTAATAAAAAAACTGAACAAAGCAAAAGCCAGCCTTTGAGCTATTAAACCAGATTTTCCCACTTGCGGTCTAACCGAATGATCCCTTTGCTCAACACAAACATCCATGACGAGGTGTGTGAAGCTGACCCCTCCTCACTATGTCTACTCGGAAGGAGAAACGCCCATTAATTTGAAAATGAAGATTATAAAAAACTGGGAATGTGCTTGTGGTAAGCTATTTGTTCTTCCCTACGAGACCCTCCATACATGCTCAAAGATCAGGGGATGGATGTCTGAAGGCGCCCTCGTAGCCCTCTAGGGTGTACCCCCAGGCAGCGGGGTGCCATTTCCGCAGGGGAGAGGCAAAGGGGGCCGTGATGCCACTGCTCCTGCCCAGCTGCAGCCCTCCCCACCGAGGGGCAGTTGGAGGCCTCGGGGCGGTTCCCCCGGGCAGGGCCCTTCCAGGCCCTATCCCCTCACAAAGCAGGGCATGGGGCGGCACTGGGCAGTGGCAATGGGGCTGCAGCTGGGGCTTCTGGTGCTGCTGGGCCTGGCAGGGTGCCCTGTTGCCTCAGGGAACCTGTCTGGGGAGCTGCGTGTCGCCGCCACATGGGTGACAGTGCCACGGCAGTTGAGCCCCCGGGCCAACACCAACCCCCTGGCCGTCTCCTACTGGCTGGGGGGGGCCCGCAGGTGCTGCACCTGCGGCCCAGGCGGGGCCTGGTCTCCCACCCCTTCACCTTGGTCACCTACGGCAAGGATGGGGCCCGCTGGGAGGAGCACCCCTTTGTGCGGGACAACTGCTTCTACCAGGGTGAGGTGCAGGGGAGCCCTGGCTCCCTGGTGGCCCTCGGCACCTGCGGCAGAGGTCTCCGTGGCGTGCTCTGGGTGGAGGATGGCACCTACGAGATTGAGCCCGTCCCCGACGATCCAGCCTTCCGGCACATCCTCTACCGCATGGAGGAGGCCAAAAACCCTGCGGGCCCCACCTGTGCGCTGACTTCAGAGGAGCTGCAGCACCAAAAGGCTTTGCTGCCCTGGTTTGAGGTCTCCCGGGCAGAGGAGGAGGAGGAGATGCTGAAAGACTGGTGGACACACATCAGGTACCTGAAGATAGTAGTGGTCGTGGACAATGTGCGGTTTGTGAAGTCGGGCAGGAATGAATCCGAAGTCTTGAGGCAAATCATAGAAATCATCAATATTGGGGACTCTCTGTATGAACAGCTTTCTGTTCGGCTGTTTCTTGTGGGATTGGAGATCTGGACCAAAAAAAACCTCATAAACATTACTAGCTCTATCAGCGATGTGCTTGAAGACTTTAACAAATGGCGGAAGTCAGACCTGTCTCCACGGTTGCGCCATGATACCGCTCACTTATTTGCATTTGAGAGGTTTGGAAGGACGCTGGGATTGGCATTTGTAGGGTCCGTGTGTAATAACCAGTGGTCATCAGCAGTTGCTTCCTTCACTAATAGGAAGTTGTCCTCATTTATTACCACGTTTGTCCATGAGTTGGGCCATATTCTTGGGATGCGCCATGATGGACCGGGCTGTAAATGCAGGCGAAAGAAATGCATTATGTATGAAAGCGATGTTGACACCGATGCATTCAGTGACTGCAGTTACAAAGACTACTTTGACCTGCTTGGGCGTGGTGCCGGCTGCATTCATCAACCGCCAGCCCCTGGCAGTTTCTACACCATGAAGCGTGAATACTGTGGGAATAAGATAGTAGAAAGCGGAGAGCAATGTGACTGTGGTTCAGAATCAAACTGCAGAAAGGATCCTTGTTGTCACCCGAACTGTACGTTCACTGCAGGTTCAGTCTGTGCTTCTGGAAAATGCTGCAAGAGCTGTCAGATCCTTCCAGCAGGAACACGCTGCAGAGCAAGTACTGGCGACTGTGACCTGCCAGAGTATTGCAATGGGACTTCCACTCAGTGCCCACCAGATGTGTACATAGAAGATGGAACCCCTTGCAAATATGATGCTTATTGCTATCGAGGAAAATGTTCTTCCCACAGTAGACAGTGCCAGCGTCTCTTTGGCAAACAAGCCAGGGCTGCTCCTTTAGATTGCTTCAAAGCAGTGAATACTCGAGGTGACCGGTTTGGGAATTGTGGTATTCATAACAATAACCGTTTTACAAAATGCAGTATTGAGAATATCTTATGTGGTAGGATCCAGTGTGAAAACATAAACAAATTGCCTTTCTTGCAGAACCACGTAACACTAGTCCAAACACCTGTTGGAGGTAAAAAGTGTTGGGGTCTTGACTACCACACGGGGTTGCCAGTAGCTGATGTGGGGGCTGTGGAAGATGGCACACCGTGTGGTAGTGATAAGGTTTGTATCAACAGGACGTGTACCAGCATATCACTGCTGAAGTACGACTGTAACGCAACAAAGTGTCATGACAGAGGAGTGTGTAACAATCATAAGAACTGTCACTGCAGGTATGGCTGGGCTCCTCCGTACTGTGAACAGGAAGGATTCGGAGGTAGCGTTGACAGTGGACCCCCTCCAGCCAGGGAGATTTTTCAGAGAGCAGAAATGGGAGTAACACTACTTAGTCTTCTTTCTCTCTGTAGCCTCGGATTAACCCTTGCCATATGTTACAACCAGGAAATAGTGAGATGGCTTAGGAGGAAAAAGGCCCAGTTCCACAGAAGACGACAGCAGTTGTTTCAAACAGTGGAAATGCCAGCAGTTCCTAAAGGAGAAGTCAAGCTGGTGAGTCAAAATCCACCACAAAGCACTTGCCAAAAACCAACAGGCAGTAGCTTTGATGCTCCTGGGGAAATCTCCCTTGAGCAGAGCCAGCTGATAACTCATCAAAATAATTCAATGCATTCCAAATAGTTCTAATCTCGTGTGATATCATTAAATGCAGAGTAAATGTTATCTTTGTTTATTTTAAGTTAATAAATGCAGGCAGTAAGGCATGCTGTTCTTTTTGTCTTTGCACCTTGAGCTCTTAAACTGAAGTAGTTAGGTGAACTGTAGGTATAGCTTTTATGCTTCGTATCAACAGTTTACAAATGTGAACTTCTTAAAACAGGAATGAATAAATTACTTGCTCCGATTTACTCTTGCAGTCTCCATTTAATTCACATCTGTGGCACGCAAGCAGGCAAGAAACAGGTATTGCAGTGAGATCGTAGGTGTCTGTGGCGTAAGCCCTTCCAGCTGTTGCCATGGAGTAGCCCTTCAGGAGGGAGGTAGATCACAGGGAACAGGGTCTTCCATCTTGTGAGATGGTAGAGTAGGATTATCCAGATCGTGCCAGTAAGCATTACATTTCTGAACCACCAGATATACGTCAAGAGTGTAGTGACACCAAACCTGACATTTCACAAGAACAAATTGTCTCTCTTTTCTGGAAGCGTTCCAATGCCTTGACTGCTGGGTTGTTCTGAGAAGTGCTGTGTATTTTATTGTTGCTGAGAGGAGCTGTCTGTGGGGCTGCACCAGTTAACAGGGTTTCTAAAATACTTGGAACTACGCTGCAAGTCTCCCCAAACCAGAATTCCTGCGTTATTTGATAGATGCTTTATCTGACTATCTTGGGGAGGAAGGGGAGGAAAATTCTCTTGATTTACTATGTGATTGCTTCATAAGTTATTACTGAGTGCGTCCTTGCAGCTTTATGGAATGCCATGCAGGAGCATTGTATTTTTCATTTTTTAACAGGAGATAAAATGGGTCTAACTTACGGAAAAAGCACGAGGGATGTGGAAATATAATTTGGTACATTTTATTACTTTTATTAGAGCAGTGACTAGATCAGCATAAAGAAGAGTCTGTAGTCCAGATTTACAGTGAAAACTTTATTTTAAAGGACTGGTGCTTCTGGATTGAGGGCTATAATGCACTTGTCTGCTACCAAAAGAATTACTTGTATTTGGAAAGCAAAAACCACATTTCAGCAAACCTTCTATAAAGGCAGGATAAGTACCCCAACGTTTGGGAAGAAGGATGTTGGTGACTCTACAAATGGTGATGATGGTAAACTCTTGCTGCCTCCCAAGTATGACTTTAAAGTTTTTAGAATACACATTTTCCTGTACTTTTTTTTTTTTTTCCAAATGACTGTATTCTGCATCCGAAAAGGGTAGGTTACCTTATGATTGGATGTGAAACACAAAGGATGTGATTCACAGTTCTGCATGGCTTTTTGTCTAAAGCAAATGGGTCCTTAAATTGTTACCTATATTTGTCTGGGGAAACGAGGTAACATGGGGGGTGGGCAAGAGTTCTTGGCTTCTTTCTCAGAGAAATAAAAATCTTAATTCAGGTGTGAGAAGCAAGGGATATGTGACAAACAAGTGGAATGTGGATTAGGTGAAAGATGGAGATAAAAAGTAACACAAGCACTACACCCAGCACCTTCCAACCAGCTATGCACATCTGGTAAGTACTGGCAGGCTTTTTTTATTTGGCTTTTTAAATACATAAACATTAGTGGCAGAAGTCTCAGGCTGCCACCTTGATGGCCTGCTGTTGTTAATTGATAGTATACCATAAATTGCTGAGCATACATCTGTGCTGAGACCAGGGAAACATTTGGAGAGTCAGGCCTGAACACTGAAGAGACAGAGGTGTAAATGAAAGGACAATTTAGGCTAGAAAGCTTACTTGCAAATGCAGTTTTGGAAGAGACATAGCAATGAAATGCTGTAGTTTCCATTTTTCTCTGTGCTGAAAAATTGATCTAAAAACCCATGAATTTCAGCAAGCTTTGGACAGGAGCATTTAGCTTTTCTTCTATTTCTGCTTAGGCCGCATGAGCAAGACAGGCATGCATCCCAACAAAGCTAGTCTATGTTTTATAAAATGTGCGAGCCCCCTTGCTGAGGTTTTCTCCTGGAAAATATTGTTTCCGATTTCACCATAGCAATGAATAACTTGATACTTCTGGTGGTTTGTTACTCTGTTGTGGTACAAAGGTGCAAGTCTTAAGTTCAGTCCCAATCTTTCCTGCTTTCTCTCTCTCTTCCCCCCCCCCCCCCTTTTTTTTTTCCCCTCCTAGTTTTAATTGCCTTTGTAAATGTTTTAAATGGATACAAGAACTTGGCTGATGTAGAAGTCACTTGAACATGGAAGAGGCAGCCTGCAAATGCTGCTGCACCATCTCCCAAGAGATGCTGGTCAGTCAGTCTAGTGTGTAAAATGGTGCTGGAGGGAAGTGCCTGACTGTGAAGACCCATGAAATGGTTTGTGCCAGAGCATCAAGGTATTGAGTCTTAGGTAGCTGTTAACATGCGGTGGGTCAGTCGTGGTGGGCGAACCCTGGAGCTGCCCAGGAGTAAGTTAAAATGATTTACCCATGTTTCTTGTTTGAAATATCTTCCTGGCTGAACAAGACTTTTAAAAAACTCTTAATATTGCAGTTATCTCAGATCAAGATTAAATTGGTTTTGTTCTAAGCCAAGACTGTCATCTCTAAAACACACTAAAACTGCTTCTAAGGAACAGTATGTATTTTCAAGGAGTGTGCCAAGTATGGTATTAGTAGAACCTGAGTTTGGAGAAAAAATATTTGATGGCCATGGTACAAGTTTTGCTTTCCAGTGTTCTTTAACCATTGGCAAAAAATAAATCTAGATATCCAGGACAACATAACTGTGGAAACTGGACTGAAGCAGTTGTGAAACTGCATGCTGGGCTTAAATGGCTTAAGAAGTCCTCCTGTGATGGACAAGCTTTGGTTTTGCTCATCATTGCAGGTGTAATGGGGGCTTGAATGCTTGTCTCCCACCTCTGAGGCAGGTTACCTAGCACTCAGCCAAGTGCTAAGCATTAATCTTGTTGCATTAAGGCATGTGGCACACTCTTCCTCTAGCCCAGAGATCCAGCACCCAGGCTGGCTGTCCCTATTTAAATTCAGGAATCCAAAAGAGTAGATAATCTTGGAATGAATACAGTCAAAAACATGTAATCCATACTGCAACATGGAGCAAACAAATCAGTAGTTTAACACTGAAAATGAGAGCACCTGGTCCTCGTTTTCTTTGGAAAAGTTCCTTCAGTGTGTAGACTTGGGTGTCCCAATAGTGCCAAGCAGTTAGGTGATTAAATTGCACCTGGTCCTGTTCATTGTTCCCTGTCGTCTTTATCTGTATTGCCACACTTGTAGCATGTGCTGAAATAGATAAGGGTAAAGTTTAATGAGGAAATAAATGAGGATAAATTTTGCCTTGCTATCTTTTTCCCAATAATCTAGTGGTTCAAGAACTCCATGAGGTACAGGAGTCCCAAGTTCAAGTGGTACTTCTGTTAGATGGAAAGTTGGACAACCTGGCCTTTTGTTGCTAGGTAGTTGCCTGTTCTGTAGGGTTTTGAGGAAACTGGACACCGTCTGCAGGTATTCATTGTTCTCAGCGGTGTTGGTCAGGACAGGGGTTCCATGTGCTATTTGTGGTTCGGAATTATACAATAATAGTTACTACACACCAGTGCTACCTCTGTGTCGCATTCCAGGATGACTTGAAGTTGGCATGGTTGCCCTCTGTGCTGCCTAACTGCACTGGGCTTTTGGTTGGGTCCATCACTGTCTGATCAGCTTGCCCTTGTTTGTTGTGTGGCCCATTGGCTCCATTTAAACGGGCTGGGAGTAGGTCACGTATCTCTCCATTTATCCGCTATGCCTCCCCCTAGAAAAAACATCACCCTCTCCTTAACCTCAGTGAGAAATCCACCTCCACTCTGGGGGGCAAATTGAGGCTGGGCAAGGACGCAGGGCAGGGGACTGTGGGCAGGAGGAGGCTGTGCTGTTGTGCAGCCCTGGCAGGCAGGCAGGCAGGCAGGGTGCC